GCGTGACAGCCCAGGGGGAGCATGGCCTGGGCCCTGTGACCAGGCCGGTCCTCCCTCCAGAAACGTCACGGTGAGGGGAGGCTGGCATCCAAAACATGGGGCTGCAGCCCCGAGGGGCCGCTGGGGCCAGCAGCAGCAAGTGGCACAGGGAGGGCACGGGCAGCGCTCCAGGAGGCTTCTCAAAACCCAGTGAGAGCTGGGAGCCTGCAGTCTCAGTATTACGCATGTTAGTAACAATGTTGTGTATTTGTACGCCCCTTCTTTCGCAGTGGTTTTGTACGTTTTTGGTCCATTGACTTACAAGCAGTTAATTCTGACGTCCGCTGGTGTGAGAGAAGCGGAGGCGTCAGCGCAGGAGCTCATCCAGCGCAGGAGCTCATCCAGCGCAGGAGCTCATCCAGCGCAGGAGCTCATCCAGCGCAGGAGCTCATCCAGCGCAGGAGCTCATCCAGCGCAGGTCACTTTAGCTAGTAGGAATACGGAGCCTACCGCTAAACTTTGGCTTATCTGGGAGGCTTCTAGGAGTTGCAAGAACAACCGCCATGTACTCCTTTTTGCTGAGGTGGTCAAAGTACAGTCCAAAGCTAAATGAAGTCCCTTGTCTGATTTTCTCTTTATTGTGAATAGGGGTGCTAGCAGAGGAGAAACTCCTTGAGATTTGTGTTAGCACAGTACATTGTTGTTGATGTTTCTGTTTTGATGCAGTACTTGGGCTTTTAGTATGTTGAAAAGTTTGAGTAGTTTGAAAAGCTTAAGCACCCACTCCAGAGAGTTTTGTTCCTTTCTACAGTGGGAGCAAGGCTGAGGTGTAGATTCGGACCCTGTTAAGTTAATGTCAATTTCTGCTGTTTTTGAGGCATGGTTATTTCATTTCTAGGGCCTAGGCAATTGTCCAATCCCTCACTTGTTCTCTTGGTCAGACTTTGGCCTAGTATGTTGGGGGACTTTCTTTTTGTGGCCATGAAACTCAGTTTATTAGAAATGCAGTGAAGTCATCTGGTTGCTAGAAACCCAGATGAATTCACTGATTGCTCATGGAAATGAGGTTCCCTTGGTATATTTTTTCTCTGTTAATGGTTGTGTATTGCTGGGGAGGAGAAGAAAAGAGAATGAAAGGATCTTCTCATCTTTACATAGCTTGTATTGCCATGTAGTCAGAAGAGAAGTGTGGTATTGAATACTAAAGCAATAATTTTGATTCTAAGGAGTCCTTGTCAAACAATCGAATTCCTTGTCTTGCATGTAGGTTATTTTTTTCATCCTTGGAATTAAACTTGAGAAAAAGTTTAAGCGATGCATAATTGTGTCGTATCATACATTTATGTAACACATAATAGTTAGCAATACCAACATCTTATGGCATATCTTTAGATTTGTAATGCTACTTTTTTGTTTTGTTTTTCAGAGAATGCAGATGGTAAATACATTTCCCCATTTCATGACATTCCACTGTTTGCTGGATCTAAAGAGGTATGTATTTATGCCTTGAAACACAATTAATTTCAAAATGATAACAATTTTGTTGTTATTCTTTAGGTAAAAACGCAGTTTTTAAAAGCATTTTTTTAAGCAGCTAACAGACAAATGTATAGCACCAGAAAGGACCATTTTAACCCAGGCTGATTCCTTATGTAATAAAGGCACGATAACTGCCAGATTTTCTCTGCTGAGTTCAGTAACTTGCAGCGAAACATAGCGATTACTTTGCAGACAAGCCTAAGTGTCTCTTTAAGTCTCCAAGTGATTGAGGGTGGGGAGAACCCTCACTGTATCTTGTTCTCCTCTATGTTTAAGGTTTGTGTTTATATGTTCTTGAATTCATTTTCTACTCTTACTCTTTTTAACGTGGCATTTTTCTACATCTGCAATTAAAAGTGTACATTTCCTTGCAGTAGGGGATGTACAGCACACACTTATGTAACTTAGGGTGTATTTCATTAATTCCCTAAAGGATCATTATAATTGGAAGGCAACAATAATGCCCAAGAGAGAAGTGGTAATCATACCTTTGGAGAATTACAAGGCATGAGGTGCAGCTGAGCACTTTCACGTCTTGTTAGCCACACTCCCTGGAGTTTCATTACAGCAATAATGAAACGCCTGTTTTATGTGTCACCGTTGGGAACTGCCAGTCTTTGGTTTAGACTTAGACTTGCTTATTATGGTATGCTTGTTGCACAAACAGGTTGGGAGGGTTTCGACCGTTTTCTTGATTTGTTGCTGGGTCTCTATGGATGATATGAATGGTGAGAAAGGTCAGCAGTTGTAACGTGTTCAGATTGAGACTTCTGAACTAATGAACCAATCTCTTGAATTATTTAAAAAGAGAGATTAAAAATACGCATGAAACATTTTTGATCAGCAGACCTTAAGCATGCTAGTCAATGGAAGAGGTAAGTCTCTTTCAGATGAGAGAGTCGTTACTAAGATGCTCTGTTCAATGGGTGCTATTGCTGGAAAAGCAATGGGCATTTTCATCACACGTTCCCTGGGAGCCTTGCTGTCCTTGCATCCAGAGTTTAAGAGGGGTGGATTATAGTCTGTGATTTTTCTGTAGATTAAATTATAGTACAGCGATGTGTGATCAATGTGGAGAGGATTTCATTCTGGTGTGTGAGCAAGGAAAGAGCCCTCCACAGGACATAGGGGCCTGAGGGGGGCAGCAAGAAAGGGAGTCATTGTGAAGGTCTCTGTTAATTTTGCCTTCTTTGCAAGAGGGTGACATAAGGAGTTGTATGTTATATTCTTTCACTCCCCTGGTCTGCTCTTTGTGGACTTTGTTTTATGACAGATAACTCCAGCCTTATTTTTGCATACTGCTTTTGTTTGCCTGGTTTGGTTTTTATCTTTTTCAACTGAACAGAAGGATGACTCTGTGTTTTTAGTGAGTTGAGGACAGGCCTAAATTGTGGCTTGAATTTTTTAGTAGCTGGGAGAAAGTGGATGTGCCCTTGTACATTTTTACCTTCCTTTGTTAACATCTGGAAGGTTATAATTTCACAATGAAACAGGACTGAGTACTTACTTTTAAAAGCTATAGCTTAGGCCTTTATGCTCACAAAGGGATGTTTCAGTTGCATTGAAAACTACTGTTGGCTGTATTTTATGTGAATACAGTACTGCTCTCTAATGTTCTTTATGCACTTCTTTACTTCACTCTTT